AGACGCTTCTGACGTTGTTTGATGTTCAGGAGCGGCTTTTCAAGAGACAGGGTAAAAGGATGTGACTGAACAATACAAAAGAGCTGAACGCCGCTATTGAAGCATCCTGGTCTTCCATAACACCTCAGCACTGCCACAGGCTGATAGCTTCCATGCCATGCCGCATTGAGGCAGTTCTAAAACAGCCAGGGAAGTGATTGAAGCCTGGGAAACCAGCCCCTCTTCAGTCAACAGAAGTGCTGATTTACCACCAGCCTAGCAAGTACTTAGAAGGTGAGGGCTGGGCAGCACAAACAAATGACAACTAATGACTTAAAAGGAAGCCATTAACACATCCCCAATCAGCATCTAATAAGCCACTTACAACAGGCTCTATAAATACTACACACAGAATAGCACACACTCTGCTAGAGAGAAGTTCCCTGCAGATGGGCTCCAGCACAAGCCTGAAAACTTATCCTGGTGACCGACCCAGTTTGGATCCTGAAACACTATTCCGGGACACATATATTCGCCTTCATTCGTAATATTTGCTCACTTTGAATAAAACCTTAGGAAATCCCTTGGAATTCCATGACCCCTCTAATATTTCCTTTCACTTGAAAGCATCTGACATCTTGTTTTAGAGCCCTTTCTCTTGATGGTTCTAAACGTTGTTCATATGACTGAAGTTATAAACATCAAAGCATGCATATGAGTCATTATTTTTCATCTGCTGTTGGTTTGTGCCAGTTCAAATTCTTTTTTTTCCTCTTTTCTGTTTTGTTTAATTGGTGATCAGTAAAGGAATAGGAGAGGGCTGATTGCCTCTGGCTGAAAATTGTTGACATTTTCACTTGTCTGTAGCAATCGGATTTTCTGCTTTTTCCAGTAAATGCTAGCCTAACCTAAAAGATTAAAGAAATGATTTGGGCCAATATATACACGTGACAATAGATGCCATGTTTACACCAAAAGAAAATTGCAAAAAGAAAAAATCTTTGCAGGAAAAATAATTTCTTTTGAAACTTAAAAGTGTATTACCAAAACATAAGATAGAGTAAGGTGGTGTCCTTATTCCCTGGAGTATTTCCTAATGCTCTTTGCTATATCAGAGCAGAAGCATTTCAGTGCTTTCAGTTTGGAGCAACATTTCTACTTCTTATTTAAAATCTGAAAAATTAGATTGCTAAGATCTAAAATACTAAAGATTAAAGAAAAGATCTGTGCCAATACATACACATGGCAATAGATTTCCCCCCATTTCTAAACTGAAATATGTTTGCAGTTCTTAAATATTTTGTACATGCATCATCTTTTTTTCCTTCTTAGCATTAATTTAGAGGAAAGGGAGAAAAAAGAGTCTCCAAATAAAAATAGTGTTTCTTCACGTGGTTTTACAGTTTGACAACATTGAGAATATGATACAATATTATTGGGGGGAGGATAAGAATTTGAGAAAGAATTGTTTGGAGTTCTTTTTTCTGCATTTAGCAATGAACCTTTTATGTGAGGAAAAATTAACATAGATTCCTTATATAATATAAGCAGTTTTGGTTCAATGTTGATAATCTTACAAAACCACCATTGATTTGAGTTGAAGGTCTTAAACAGATTTCAGACTTCTGGCCAGATTTAATTTCTCTGCCTCATTTGCATGAGAGGAACTTTGAGAGGGAACCTGAATTACCATGATATCCTCCCATGTCTAGAAAATATATACTGGTGTTGACTGTCAGGAATTTATAGGAATAAATAGTACAATGCATATGAGAACATTAGATTGGAGGAGAACAATCTACTTTCAGGGATAGCACAATTATGTTTGCTGCCATCAATTGTGGCAGTGGGGAAGTTTTTATGTTTACTTCTACTGTGGAGATTAAGAGCTAGAATAGTGAGCCTGATCCTGATTTTCTGTTCAATATGAGTCTGTAAAAAATCTTATGTCATGGGATGAGAGCATGCCTTTGTTCACCTGGGATCAACCTAGGATGAGGTCATTAAATCACAGGGAGTTAATAAGTATTACTCACATTGCGTCCTTTTAAGTTAATGCTTGAATGTGTGCATTATATCTGCTCAAAAGGAAGGCTTATCAAAAACATTGTCTACTCTTTACAGATAATTGCTATTAATTATTTGAACTGAAATTACAATATATTTAAACATTTTGGAAGAAGAAAATAAATCAAGTTCAGGAACAGGTTTGAAATTGGCTTGCTTAAACAGACTATAGTTAAAACCAGGTTTTAAACAAATTATGATTAGTTGAAAACAAGACAGTGATTGTGATCTTTCTTGCAGCATGTTCATAGCAACAGTTAGAATTATTCCAGCTTGATACAGTTTTTGAGATTATTATCTACATTAGAACTTTGGCTTTTAAATAAATATGATATTGTAGCATCTTTATTATTTATTTTCATTTGTTCATTCATAAAACATAGGCCAACTTTTTATGCTCAATCACCTGTTATTTCCTATTTTTGTCAATGTAATTGGAGTAAATCTTGTCCTAGTTATGCTAAATGCATAATTGGTTTACTTGGCCTCATTTTCAGCAGTGTTCCCAAACTAGCGGCAAACAGAGAAGCATCTGTTGACAGATACTGAAAATCTGTGATTTGCGAGATAAATTGTGAGCCAAATATTCTTGAATTAATATTTGTAAAAATAACTACCTTATTCATCAACTTATAATTATCACTGCACTTTAGAGACAATCTTGTGATAGGTTAGATTTGAGACATGGGAAATACTGAGGTGAGATCTCTACTCAAACTACAATAATGGGGTAACAACATCACTCAAGATTTAGAAAAGCATAAAATAATGTGAACAAATATCTAAGAATCAGAACTGAAAAGAAATTATTTGGACATAAGAACCTAATGGCTCCTTGTTTCACTTTTTAGTTTACAATATTCAAGCTTTTTTATATCAACATCATTAGATTTTGTAGCTGTATGTAATGTCAATGTTGTTGCACTACTGAGAGAGTAAATGACCAGTGTAAGATTGCTTAAATCTATAACTAAAGTGGTCCTGAACCTAGATTTTTATGCAGTTATTTATTATTTACTTGTATGCCGCCTTTGTTAGTTTTTGCAAATAACTCATGATGGCAAACATGTCCAATATTGTTCCCACAACAACCTTGTGAAGTGAGTTGGGCAGAAAGAGAGAGTGACGGGCCCAAAATTATCACCTAGCTGTTTTTCATAGCTAAGGTGGAACTAGAAAAAGAACAAGTTAATAGGTCTGATGGTGATTTGTTGTGTTCACTTGCATCTTTCTTATTTCAAAATTATTTTGAAGCACTTTTTAAAAAAAGCTATGCTGCAGTTAATGTTACTTCTTACGGTAGCGGTAATCTACAAATAGATTATAGATTTTTTTCCTCTTCTTTAAAAGACAAGCAGCATGAAGTGGAAATCCCATCTCCAACACAGAAAGAAAAAGAGAAAAAGAAACGGCCTATGTCTCAAATCAGTGGAGTAAAAAAGTTGATGCACAGTTCCAGCTTAACAAATTCTAGCATCCCCAAATTTGGAGTCAAAACAGATCAAGAAGATATTTTATCCAAGGTAAGAGCAATGCTGATTTCCAGCCGATTCAGTATCTGTAACTCAGATCCAAATACAGTCACAAAATTACATTCACAAATATTTACATGCATCCGTATGTCTATATGAATTTATATGTCATGTGTGTAAAATCTCACACACCGATTTAGTGCAGCCAAATAAAGATCCTGATTCATTTTTGTTCCTTAGCACATTGTGCATCAGAACTGTGTAACTGCAGAAGTCAAATGGATTGTTTAAAAATAAAATCACCTATAGAATTTAACCAAAATTCTAGATGCCATCTTTACACTGAAAGAAAATTGCAAAAAAAACAAAAATCTTTGCAGGAAAAATAATTTTTTTTTAAACTTGAAAGTGTATTCCCAAAACATAAGATAGAGTAAGGTGGTGTCCTTATTCCCTGGAGTATTTCCTAATGCTCTTTGCTATATCAGAGCAGAGCAGTACTGAAGCAATTCAGGGTATTCAGTTTGGAGCAACGTTTCTACTTTTTATTTAAAATCTGAAAAATTAGATTGCTAAGATCTAAAATACAACGAAATCAAGAGCAGATGTTTTATACACAGTCTATTGCAAAGCCAGGGTAACAGTTTCTGTTTTTTGTTTGGTTTTATATCAGGAGCTGGAAGATGTAAATAAATGGGGCCTCCAAGTGTTTAAAATAGCCGAATTATCTGGGAACCGACCTTTGACAGTTGTCATGTATACAATCTTTCAGGTATGTTTAAGGGGGAAACAACTTTTTTCCCTTTTCTTTTCCAGAGGACTTTACCTATTCTGAATAAACAATTACTTTTTCTCTCTGTAACTGCAGGAACGGGATTTGCTAAAAACGTTTAAAATTCCACCAGACATGTTAATAACCTACTTGATGACGCTGGAGGATCATTATCATGCAGATGTGGCATATCACAACAATATACATGCTGCTGATGTTGTACAGTCAACACATGTGCTTTTGTCAACCCCAGCTTTGGAGGTAAGTCCACAATATCTGGGTGAAATTTAAAAAAGAAACCCACTTGTGAAACATACTGTCATGTCTCGCAATACACCAAGGTGGCTTGCCAAATGATTAGTTACTGAAAAAATAAGTTTAATTTAAAGGTATTAACATTTGAAACTTTATTATAAAAACATTTTGTAAATTGGACTTTAATCCTTTCCCCTCCAGAAAAAATGGTGTTTGTACTAGTAGAGATCCAAGCGAAAAAAGGGGAGAGGACCAGTGCAATTCTCTTTCATTTAGAACATTTTCTCCATTAGTCATTCTTCTCTGTTCCATTACCTTATTCCTCAATATTTCCTCTTTCTTTCTTTTAGGCTGTTTTCACAGACTTGGAGATTCTAGCTGCTATTTTTGCCAGTGCAATACATGATGTTGACCATCCTGGGGTTTCAAACCAATTTCTTATCAACACAAGTAAGTTAGTTTATTTCTGGCTCCACTGATTGTCTATATACTTGAGATTCCTTGAACAAGCAACAAAGAGGGTTTTTTTTTTTAAAAAAAAGATGGTTTTGGATATGTAGAGTTTCTGCATATATCATATGGTCAGTCATCAAAAGCATATTTCTAGTCCAGTGTCCCTTCGTCACAATGAGAATTTGAAGAATAACAAAATAACAACTCAGTTGGATATTCAAGGTTTTTCCATTCTTATTTGTCTATGGGCTTCACGCAACTGGGAAATCTAAGGCAGCTTTCTTCTGATAGATTGTTGGAGGTCTCTGAATGCTACTTATTCCTCTAGGTCAGAATTCCTCAGACAGCTTTGCTTCAATTCTGGGAGTTGAAGTCCACAAGTCTTAAAGTGGCCAAGGTTGAAGACTCCTGCCCTAGGTCAATGTTTCTCAACTTTGGTAACTCTAGGATATGTGTGGTGACTGTGGAATTCTGGGAGTTGAAGCCCACAAATCTTGCTGTGCTTGAAAATCACTGCTCTGTATTTTTCCTGGGTTTTCTGGCCCATTTGGAATCTCTATACTATTAAAACTCTTGTTGTCATGATCTTTACCTAGATTAAGTAGTGGATCATAGAGAAGTATCTCAAATGGACTAACTTACATAATGCATCCAAAATCAGGATCAGTATTTCCGAAGAGAACAAAATTAGGGGAAGTTGTGGCTGCTTCACTACTGCTATGCTGCTGGGCTGCTGCTGTTGCAGCCATATGATCTTCTTGTTCAAATTCTGCTACAGTTTCCCAGCCAGTCTTGCAATCTATCACTTCATCCCTCACCGATTAGCAAGAAATTGATTCATCATGTGGCTCTCAAGGAAAAACGTGCCTGAAGAAAGACCTAGATATTTTTATTGCTTTATGTGCCCCCTGCAGAGGCACACAACATGTACATGTGTCTATATTCCATTCAGGAGAATGGGCCACTATGTATGTGTATCCATAGTGGTCCATTTATCTATAGTTGTTCACAAATTTGTGAAGTAGGTTCCCATTTTTAAACTGTTCTGAGGTAACAATGGCAATCTACAATATTGTAAAATAAATGAATCTTATCAACGTAATTATGCAAGTTGGAAATAGAGGGGGAAACGTTACGGTGAAGAGATGACACCAAACATCCCTGCGACGTGTCAAGGGGTGCAAGAGATAAACAGAGAATGAAAGGTCTGTATTTCTGCAGAGCCACAAGGAAAATTACAGAATGAGGAGACAAGAAAAGACAGAGGAGAAAAACGAAGATCAACTTTGAATGTGTGGCAGACATTAATTATTGCAAGAGTCCCTCAATGTGACTACCTCTGCCTTCAACATCAACATTTCAGCAGAGAAAGAAAAGAAAAGCAAAATACACAACTTGCACAGTGTAACATTTCTACTGATTTGGTACCATGGCCAAAGTCTGCCCTCACTCTCATAAATTCCTATTCTCTCGAAAAACCATCATTTTCTGCATTATGCAGTGCCCTTCGTATTGCAGGATAGGCAATGTGCAACCTCTGCCTAATGAACTTCTCGTTTTATATAGCAATGGGGCACCTATTGCAAACAGGAAGTTTGGTTCAGGAAGAACATCAGATAATACAACTGCCTGGACTTCTTTTCTCCTCCCCCATCCATCTCAGGACTGCACAGTCTCTTCCTCTGGGCCTCTTTCTGGGAAAGGTCTGTGTCGCCAAAACTCTCCCAAGAATGTTTCTTCATATGCACATTCTATCACAGAGCTAATGCTGCTCAGTTTCCCACAGAACTCCTTTGTTCAAGTGAACTCTCTGGATTGCTATCACATAGACTGGAATTGAAGGTCATCATTTTAATGAGATTGATAAAAATAGGATCACCAACATGATTTGCCAACATCCGATGATGGATATGGCACAAGAAGATGATTTTAATGAGGAAGTTGGATCTTTCAAAGCTTTGCAAAAGGAATGCATACAATAATGGAAGAATTCCACAGGAATCTCACTGTAGCAAATACAAACTTTGGTACATTCAAAAGTGACACTGTCATGATTCCAAGAATTCGCAGTCAATTTATCAGAAGGTGAAGTTGTCCTTCTTCAGCACACAAAGTTCCCAATTGCAGTCATGCTTTCCTCTCACTATATATAAAGCAGAAGGACAAATCATGGAGAAGGTGCTGATTAATCTGGAGAAACCAGCATTCCAGCATGGTCAGCTGTATGTTACTTTAAGCCAAGGAAAAAGAAATATAAACCACTATTCTTAAAGAATAGCATATCAATCACAAATATTGTTATCTAAAACAGGGGTCCCCAACCTATGGGCCATAGCCTATTTGCAAAATGCAAATGACCAGCTGTCTGCAAGGAATATAAATTGTTCCATTCTCCACCATCCAGTCAGAGGTGAAGAAGCTTCTTGGATGAGAAGTGAAATGTCTTCAAAGAAAAATCAGAAAGTCCAGTTGCCTCTTGAAAAAGCACCTTTGGGACAACCATGACCTGGATGAATGAGAATCTCCGTAGATACATTAGCGGAATATTAATATGCAGTACATTTAAGTCAACAAACTACAGACATATGATTAAGGAATTGTACCATACAGAGGGAGGGATGAAGGAGATCTCTGTTCCACTTGCCACTGATAATTTCCAAGTCTTCCATTATTTGATTACAAAATTATTGAGCATTTATGCAATAGAAGGGAAGCGTTTACTGAAACATTTGTTCATGATCAGCCCTAATTTGTTCTTATTTTGTTGCCCTTGTAATTTTCAAACCATTTTTAAAAACTGGACAGAGAATTAGAATTGGAGGAGAGTCTGTTGTCAGATTTGATTTGCAATTAGCCATAGTGGGTTTTTTTTCCTAATGTAGTTGGATGTTTTGGATGCCATACGAATGTTAAAACCCAAAATATATAACTTCTATAAAAAGCAATTTTTATTAACAGTGCTGTCTTTGGACTTTCTTGCAGACTCTGAACTTGCCTTGATGTATAATGATTCATCAGTCCTAGAAAACCATCATCTAGCTGTTGGCTTCAAATTATTGCAGGAGGAGAATTGTGACATTTTCCAGAACTTGACAAAAAAGCAGAAGCAATCATTGAGGAAGATGGTCATTGACATTGTGAGTTGTTTTTATTTATCCATTATTTATTTATTTATGATTTTTAATGTATTCCATTTTTAAAGATGCATTTCATCATAAACTTGATACTACTTTCATTGTTTTGCTCTTATATAGCTCAAATGAAAAATGATATACCAGATATTTTGGGGGGGAGGTGGGGAGATATTTGAAATAGGTCTTATATCTGATTTATAAAAGTTATGTTTCCATAAGATCTATCTGCTGATTAAGATATTTTCACTGACTGTCTCTTTAATTCCCTTACCAAGATTTAATAGCTTCTAAAACAAAAGCAATTATTGTGACCTTTATCTTTTGGTTCTCCTCCAAGGTCCTTGCCACAGATATGTCTAAGCATATGAATCTATTGGCCGATTTGAAAACAATGGTTGAAACCAAGAAAGTGACTAGCTCTGGAGTTCTACTTCTCGATAACTATTCAGACAGGATTCAGGTAAGATACTCTGCATTTTAAACAAATTGTATTCTTTCTTCACCTCATTACATTCAGATGACCAGTGTGTCTCGACTTTTTGAACTGACTACCGTCCCTTTTGTCAAAACATTTTCCCAGTTATGGCTGCTTATAGGGCATTCTTCCTTGATGAGGTGCTTCATCTTACAGCGGTACTTCACTCTTCCTTGATTGTTCATTTAGTGACGCTAATCTACACTGACTAATGATTAATCAGTTTGTTCTGCTAAGCACAGCTTTTTCAGCTTGCAGAAACACTGTTACAAGTGAAGCAGTGCAGACTACCTGCATACCCATACCTATTAGTAAAGGTACAGAAATGCCTTTTTTTCCCAGCCATAGCCTAAATATAAACTGTCAAGATTAGGTGCAATCCATTATGTCCCCACTGTATTTTGTTGTTCAAATGTCAACACTATCTTTACACAAATGGGTATATACACAAGTAGGAGTGTCTGAAGTTTCAATCCGTTGCTTTGGTTGGCTAGTTGGTTGGATGGTTTTGTTTGCGGAAATGTTTCTTAATCCACAAAGTTCTACTTAGGAGTGAAGGGATGGAATTACTTTAAATGTGCACTCATGTTATCAAAATTTTAAAATTAAATTTCATTCTTAAACCCATTTTTAACATTTCCATATGAAGCAGTACCCAACGCTGAAGTTTGGCTTTCAAAATTTCATTCAAATGCTCATGCAGCCTGCAGGCCAGACCTAATTTAGACTATTCTGTCAGTGTCTGAATTTTTTTTCCTGCTCTTGAGGGTGGCTAACAGGCTTGATTAATTCCCACATATCTTCATAACTGATCAGTCTTGCACTTACAACATTTCTGGCCTTTTAATATAGGCAAAGCTATAGATGTGAGATAATTGGTAGCTATTAATGCCAGTGTGAAAAACGAACAGCATATCATCCTCCTGGTGTTCAGAATAAACCTTGCACTCCATGTATTTTCAAGATTTCTGTTTTCTCACCCACTAAATGTGCAAATGGAAAAAGAGTAGAATAACACCACAAGTTTTCTCAATATTTTTTTTTCCTGTTTAATTTAGGTTCTACAAAATATGGTACACTGTGCAGATCTAAGCAATCCAACAAAGCCACTCCAGTTATATCGGCAATGGACAGATAGAATAATGGAAGAGTTCTTTCGTCAGGGAGATCGAGAAAGAGAAAGAGGCATGGAAATAAGTCCCATGTGTGATAAACACAATGCATCTGTAGAAAAATCACAGGTAATCATTTAATTGAAAGATGAAAAATCAATGTAGTTGATTTAGAGCAGGGGTGTCAAACTCACGTGATTACAGTGGCATCACGTGACGTATCGGGACTCCCCCCCCCTTCACTAAATCGGGCATGGACGTAGCCAGCATGTAATGCATCCAGCCTGCAGGCCATGAGTTTGACAGCCCTGACTTAGAGAATACTGTAAACTCTTCAAGGAAATAGGCAATAACTGTTGATTAATGCCTGACATTCAGCATAGTCCAGATCAGGAAACTGATTGTACAGGAAGACAAGAACTATGTTACATTTAAAAGGCTATCCTAATAGAATCTTGGAAGACTGGTTGGACTTTATCTCCTCTTCCTTTTATATCTCAGTGAAACAGAGTCTCCCTGAGTTTGTTCCCAATGTTATCTCATTCCCCTTGATTTAAGGGATATTTTTTTGCTTGTAACATATTTCTTGTTTATTTCCCTCAAGGTCCTCTTTACACAAATGGTTGATATAATACTAAAGCCTACAAAATAATGAAAGATTAATTTGAAGTTTTCATTTAAGAACAAAAATAATATAGAAAATAACTAAATAAAAAAGATAGCTTCTTATGAAGTTAATTTTAATAAATAATGTGATACACCTAATTCCTTCCTTCTTTAGAATAACAACATCTCTTAATTCTACATTGTAACAGGTGGGTTTTATAGACTATATTGTTCACCCTCTCTGGGAGACCTGGGCTGACCTTGTCCACCCAGATGCCCAAGACATCTTAGATACATTGGAGGACAATCGTGAATGGTACCAGAGCACAATCCCTCAGAGTCCTTCTCCTTCATCGGATGACCAAGAGGAAGGTAGACAAGGACAAACTGAAAAATTTCAGTTTGAACTAACATTGGAAGAAGATGGTGAATCAGACACAGAGAAGGACAGTGGAAGTCAAGTGGAAGAAGATACCAGCTGCAGTGACACCAAGACTCTTTGCACCCAAGACTCAGAGTCCACAGAAATTCCACTTGATGAGCAAGTGGGAGAAGAGGTGGTAGAGGAGGAGGAAGAGGAGAATCAGTCAGAACCTTGTGTGCTAGAAGAACGGTCTCCTGATACGTAACAGTGCATAGCTCTCTCTATACTCTCTCCTTTTCTGTTTTTAAAAGCTGAAAATGGTTTCCAAAGTGCATATCATATGGCACAACCATGATCATGCCTCACTGTCATCTGCCAGAGTTGTTTGTTGATCAAAAACTTAGTTCAGCACTCAGGATTAGTGTGACCAGAATTGTTCATCTCCATGGCACCAGAGAATGAAGGAAAACATCTGCAAAGAACAGTTGAATGAAGAGTTCAGCTTGGCTGATTTGATGAGAGACTGACAGCACTCACAGCTGTTTTTCACAAGGAGTAAAGGCTGGTCCAAAGCTAATGTGAGTGTGTGTGTGAGATTATATGTGTGTTTTGTATTAGGTTTTAATTTCATGAGGAGGCAATTAATACCATACCTTTAATGATTAACACCAGAATCTAAAGAAAGTGACCAGCAAATGAATCAAGTTGTCTAGTGGGAAAACAAATGCACTCAAATATGGGGATACAACATGAACCAGTAGGAAGATGAAGCTGTGGAAATCACATACTTTTCTAATTTCAAGTCTTCCTGACACATGACTGAAAAAGGTGTAGCTCAATGGTTGCACTGAAGTCTGCATTTTGTATCATATGTAAAACAGAAATCTTTTTGTAGAGTTTACTTTTATTATTAAATGTGTTGGGTTATTATATTTAAAAGAATGCAACACCCTCCGAATTTCATCTGCCAGTGGCTTTCTCTTCCTCCCTCTTCTCCTATCCCCAAAAAAGAGTAACTTGCAAGTTTTCAGTACATGTATATGCTACACTGGATAAATTGAATTTTATATTTGTTTGCACTTAGATTTTCATAGCAATTCCTTCAACTGTTATAAAATAGCTTTTGTTTTATAGACCAATGATACGTATATGATGCTCTGTTAATTCTCTCTCACCCATCCACCTACCTAGTCTCTTATGGTAGGTAAACACTTTGTTTTCTATCTTCTTTTTTCTTTGTAAATGTCCAAAAGCAGCAATATATTATCTGCTATGAGCTCTTTGACCTCACAGATAGCTTAGTCCTGCAGATCCAAGGTTTATGGTTGTGGGTTAATTCCCCTCAACCAAACCAATTATTTTTGAAATCTAGTGGAACACTAGAGTAGCAGTTCCCCAACATTTGGGTTGCAACAATTGAGGGGTGGCAGGAATGTGGACCATTAGGATTCAATCTTCCTATAGTAGATGCATTGGGGTTCAGAAGGTTGAAATGAATGACAATAGTGCATAGAAACTTGAGAATGCCCAAAACAAACATTGGATACTCATAAGTATGAATAAATTTGGATCTGAGGTTTTCAGATCTATGGCCAGTATAAGGGTGACTTTCCTATTATATACACAAATGTTTTATTTGCTAACTGAATATTTCCTTTTCCACAAGACAGTTTGTTGGCATGAACAATAGCATTGTAGGAGTCTTTTGCCCCAATGACTTACTAAGACCAACAAATGCTTTGGTTGGGGGCATGCGGGCAACTGTCATTGCACAGTACTTCAGATTGTATTTGTGCAAACAGGTCAGGAATAAATTGTTTCTAAGGGATTTTTTTTCCCCGTCAAAAACTTTTTGAGAGGGTTTGTGCTATTATGGGAAGTGCACTACTCTACAAAACTGACAGGTTGTTAAGGGGGGGGGGAGTATTGCAGAGCAAAGTGTAGACTGCCATCCATTGTAGAATTATATTATGGCTGTTAATTAAAGTGGGATTTGTGTATCTAATTTTAAATTTGGCTGTAGCTGTAGCATACAGCTATAATTATGTGTAGGAAATCTATGCACAGTAGCAGACATTAATGCAGATTGAAGTCTGTGAGGATTGAAAAGGGCCATCCTCACTTGACCTGTGCTGCCTTTCTCTTGCCAGATTGCATTAGTAGGCACATATTCATGCTGCTTTATCAACATGGTACATTTCCTTGACCACATAGATTGTCTCTCTTTGGTCTACATTTGCATAAAACAGCTCCTCACCGTATGAAAAAGCTTTGCACAGAGTTATTGTAATCCCAGTATTGAAGCAATTTGGTTGGACTGGGTTTGAATCATGAGTCTTTGTTTTGCTGCAATGAAAACAGAAATGGGATTGGATTGGATGGAGCCTAAATTAATAAGGCTTTAGTCTCATTGTAATCAATGGAACTATTCCTTCATTTATTTAGAATTAAGACTTGTTTTATACATCAAGCTCTTACGGTAAGCACTGAATAATGAGGATTTTAAAAAAATGTTTTAATGTGTTGACTCTTTCTTAGTTCTTAATGCCTTTTGTTAAAAAAAATACCAGCTAGGGAAATGAATGGAAGAATATCATCAAATTGCTGTTAGCATGAATTCATGGCCTCTCCTTCACTACTTCGACATTTGTACAGTCCCCAAGAGTGCCTGGAATTTTAATGAAAAAAAAGCAATATAAATTCCAAAAATCTAAATGGACATAGAAGGGTATTTTTTTCTGCACTAATAGTTTAATCAATAAAGAGGAGTGCTCTCTGGCTTGAGCCAGCAAGTTCTGAGGAAAGAACTGTTAAATACATAAATATCTTCGCTTTTTAACAAGATTTCCCAAATGTTAATTTCAAGGAGGTTTCATTCATTGCTGGATCTTGTTAGAGCGCACACTGTAAGATTAAACTTTCAAAGAAAATGGAGACTGTATTGTGTAAAAATGCACCCATACACATGGACAATCAAATGACAGAAAGCGTAATAATTTTTAGAGCCAGGGATTGAATGCACTGTACAATCTTTTCTGTTTTCTTTTTATTTTATTTTGCCTGAAGTGTGTGATAGCACACACATGGCTGAAAAAAATATATTAAAAGGTGACTTTACATGTGCTCTCTGTTTTTGCCACAAGTAAAATGCAAAGCATTGGTACAGTTTTGAAAAGGAGGGTGGGAGAATGGGGAAAAGGTGAGAAGAATATGAGTTTGCATTTATACTTTAGCTTGCAAGTTACTGTTCTTGGTAATGTTGTGTCTGTTCCTTTTGATTTCTGATTTCATGTCATTGTTTCAAAAAATGTGATCAGATAATATAGGTAGAACAAATCACATTCAAAAGCTTTTTAAAAAAAAGAACTTGAGAATGAAATGAATTTTACAACATTGTCATTTATTTTACAATGCATTTATTTATTTTTATTTGTGCCATGCATATTTTTTTCTCACCAAATGACCTTACTTGTAATAAGTCTTGTTTGTCTCTGTTTACAGCTATGTATTTATTGTAATGTATATAATGTAATGTTAATTGTAAATTATAAGTTCTTATTATAACATCATCTTGCCGGGATGGTGTTGCTATATTTGGAAACTCTTGGTGAGAGAATTAATATTGTGTATACATACTCCCCTTGTACATTTTTCCCCTTGTGTAATATATCCTATATCACCTTAGAGCTTGTTTATGGAAGAGTTGAGAAAAACAATAAAATACATAGATATATAAATTAAAAGCTGCAGGTCTTTGGTCCCAGGGCTGTGCCTTAACCTTAAACAAAATTTTCTTCTGTTTTGCTGCATTTGGAAAAAAGGTTGTAGCAAACATGGGCTGGGCGTATCTCCAATATGCTTTTTTTTTTAATAGAAGGACTTCAGTTGTGTCCCATCTAGGAATGTTCTCTTTTCCACTCTCTAGGATCCACTGAAGCTGAGTTTTGGGGAGAAGGTTTTTTTTTTTTTAAGGGTAAGATGGCAAGAGACTGTGCAGCTGAAACTGCCATCTTGACTCTTTGTGACACCATGTGGATGCCCCTGCTGGCATCTGACCTCCTTTTGAATAAATGCCTTCTCTCTAATGGAATATACATTCCCCTTCAAAGCATTTCTTGAGGGATTATTCACCTTTCTTAGAGAAAGTAAAGGAAAAACAAATGCTACCAACACTTAATCAACAAGAATGAGTATTAATCAATGGCAGCTACTGCTCTCAAGCCCCACTGAAACAAGGCAGTCACTTTCTGTCCATACCAAGGCAATTCATATAGGCAGATTATTTAATACAGTGGCTCTCCAGATCAGACCTGTATTGATATTGCACTGTATACAGGACCTATTCCCTCCAATAAGCTTTCAGGTAGCCGAAGCTTACTTCTGTATGAATGGATTTGCAGAAGACTGTCTGTAGCTTTTCTACATCCTTGAAACACTACCGTTGGTTTTAGACCAGCGTTTCCCAACCTTGGCACTGGCTGGACTTCAACTCCCAGAATTCTGGGAGTT